AATAATCAAATACCTTGAGTCGAAAACAGGTGATGTTTTTGCAGCTCGGTTTGATGATTGTCATTTTAATGAAGAATTGTTTCCCCCCTTAGGAGGGAATGAAAAATCAATTGAGCGAAATATTGAATGGAGAACATCATCACTATCATATCTTGATCATCCCACCAAACAAAGAGAGAAAGAAGTTCAAAAGATCATATATCTGCAGAATATTGCAAATCAATTACCAGATGCATTTACTGATTTTAAAAGGGTGACCAAATCACATGTGGCAGTTGTGGATTCCCCTAATCGAATTGAGATTCCAAAAGAAATGACAAATGATGATGTGTCAAATGAGTCAAAGATACGCTTGAAACGAGGAAGACCAATTGGGTCTAAAGATAAGAATCCTCGAAAGAAAAGAGAAATTCGTGACCCGAATTTGGAAAAGAATCAAGATGATGAAAAATTTTCGGGACAGAATGAAAATATTGAAATTTCCATCAATTACGTAAATAATGGGAATCTTTAGAAGCGTGATGAGATCACAAATATTGATGATGCATTTGCATATATGGTATCGAAAGAAATTGAAAATGAAGTTGAGGATCCTGAACCAAAATCTGTAACTGAATGTCAGAAAAGACATGATTGGGAAAAATGGAAAGGCGCCATCCATTCAGTTTCCGTACCCCTTACCTTACTCAAGAAAGAAAGTCATGCTGATCAGCAGTAGTGTCTAAGAGGAAGGGCCAATCAAAGATCTGATTCATCTGATCGCTTCCTCTAAGAATAGATATCCCTTGCCCAGGATACAACCAAACGGGAAATAGAAAGGCTCATTCATGAGAACGAAGGCAGAATCGAAAGGCTCAGAGTCCTTTATAAAGAGAAAATAGACTTCTTGGACGAACAAATAGATAGACTAACGGACAGTTACGTCAGTGATCAAGCCGAGTTAGATTCACTCAATAAACGAAAAGTTTTTGGGCCTATTTCCATTATACCAAAAGGCATAAAACCTATTGGATACAAATGGGTTTTCACCAGAAAGAGAAATGAGAAAAATGAGATCACAAGATATAAAGCTCGCCTTGTTGTACAGGGATTTTCCCAAAGGCCTGGGATCAATTATGATGAGACATATTCTCCTGTCATGGATGCAATTACTTTCAGATACTTGATGAGTTTAGCTATCCATGAAAATCTTGAGATGCGTCTCATGGATGTTGTAACTGCTTATTTGTATGGATCATTAGACACCGACATATATATGAAAATCCCAGAAGGAATCAGAATGCCCGAAGCACTAAACTCTAAACCTAGAGAGTTATGTGCGTTAAAATTGCAAAGATCATTATATGGCTTGAAACAATCCGCAGCGTATGTGGTATAATTGTTTGAGTGAACAATTATTAAAAAGAGGATACATAAATGATCAAATATGTCCGTGCGTCTTTATAAAGAAATCACATAATGGAGTTGCGATAATAGCTGTCTATGTTGATGACCTTAATATTATTGGGACATCAAATGAAATACAAGAAGCAGTTACCTTTTTGAAAGGCGAATTTGAAATGAAAGATCTCGGAAAAACCAAATATTGTCTCGGTTTACAGATAGAGAGAGTACAAAATGGGATATTTATCCATCAATCTAACTATACTAAAAGAGTATTGAAACGATTAAATATGGACAAAGCTAATCCCCTTAGTACTCTGATGGTTAACCGAACATTGGATGTTGAAAAGGATCCATTTCGACCATGTGAAGAAAATGAAGAAGTACTTGGTCCTGAGGTACCATATATGAGTGCAATAGGGGCTCTTATGTATCTTGCTAATTGCACCAGACCAGATATATCTTTTGCTACCAACTTATTAGCAAGATATAACTCGTTACCTACGAGGAGACACTGAAATGGAATCAAGCATATATTCCATTATCTTCAAGGAACAATTGATCTGGGATTACTTTACTCAAATGATAAAAAAACATGAAATGATCGGTTTTGCAGATGCAGGATATTTTTCAGACCCACATAAGACGAGATCTCAGACTGACTACGTTTTCACGATTGGTGGAACTGCATTTTGTTGGCGCTCTCAGAAACAAACACTAGTTGCTACATCTTCAAACCATGCCGAAATCATTGCACTGCATGAAGCAACTAGGGAAAGCATCTGGCTCAGAAACATGACTCAACACATTCAACAGGCCAATGGATTTTTGAATAATAAAGACCCGACGGTAATATTCGAAGACAATGCAGCATGTGTCGCTCAGACCAAAGAAGGATACATCAAGAGTGACAGAACTAAACATATCAAACCAATGTTCTTCTCATACACTCAAGAGCTTGAAAGGAACAAACAAATCAAGGTTCAATACATTCGGTCAAGTGATAACGCAACAGAATTATTTACAAAAGCGCTCCCAACTACAACGTTCCGAAAGCATATCCATAACATTGGAATGAGACATCTTCGAGATTTACACGGATGATAACTCGAGGGTAGCATGTGCGACTGTACTCTTTTTCCCTTATATCGATTTTTTCCCACAGGATTTTTTCGGATAAGGTTTTTAATGAGGCAGCATAAACGCACATTGCATAGTGGTAATTCCAAGGGGGAGTGTTAGAAACAAGTGGAATAAACCACTATGCCTCGATAGTGACATTTCACTATTTGTAATAAATGAGAATAGTAAAGTGAATAATAATGGGTATGAGATGTGCATTATTGGTGTACATTGTGTCGGCAAATTTGCCTATAAAAGGCATTGCCAATGTAGTGAATGTACACACAATTTCAGAAGGAAAAGAAGAAAGAGAATACTAAGTATAATTCCTATTCGCTTTCTATTTTCTGTTCTTTATCTTTCCCCTTTTTATAACAGTAATATATTTAAATTTTAATTGTTGTTGTTATTATTTATTATTTTACTTATTTATTCTTGATGTGTTCATCCAAAACCATAGGCACAAAATGAGCATGTATATGTACAATACAAACATGTTAACATATTTGTTAACAAAAAAAAAAAAAAACATATTCGGTGCGGTTCGGTTAAAACCACGCCATTGGGACAAAAAACCGAATCGCACCAAAATTTGTGCGGTTTTTCAAAATTTTAACCGCTCCGAAAACCAAACCCTTGAAAAACCTAACCGAACCGCTCCGAATACACCGGTTCGGTTTTCCAATTTCGGCTCAGTTTTGCTCACCCCTACGTCTAAATGCCGTTAGTATTACAAATTTATATTTTAAATAATTTTAATCAAAACTTTTGAATATACGCAAACCAAACGCAATAATAACCAAAATATTTTGCACTTTATCATTATCTTCGCATGTTTATCGCATAAATTGTTTGCACTCTATAGATTATCTTTGTCTTACTGTCACATAGTTGATTACATAAATATATCACACTTTATCATTCTATTCGCATGTCTCTTGCACAAATTGCACTTTATCAATTATATTTGTCTGTCTATAGCATAGTTTGTCATGTATATATTTTGCACTTATCAATTATTTTTCACTTATCTGTATCGCACAGTTGGGCTGAGCATGGGACTCGAAGAATTTCGAACGTTCCGAAAAACGAATCGAAATCACTCCGAACCGAAAAACAACCGTTGACTGTTTTGACATTCTCCGAACACCGAACCGAGGAAATAATTGGTACGATTCTGGAGATTTCACAAATATCCGTACCGAGAACCGAACCGAACCGTCAAGTATTGTACCGAATTATAAGAATAGATGTGTGATATTTAATATATTTTATGTCAACTTTGGTCATATATACTTTGTAAATTTTTAAAATGGAAATAAATATAGTTATAAAAATTAAGCTTCACTTAAATTTCATGATTAGTAAATGCTTGAGATCTACAATAAAATTTTCCTGGTTTAAGAAAAATATATTTTTAATAGTATGAAAGGTTAAAGAAATATTTTTTTAAAAAAATATTTAAACATTACTTAAGTTTGCCGATACTAGTTTTATTATATCTTATAACTAACATGATATGGAAGGTTAAAGAAATATTACTTTAATAAAAAAATTATATTTTGTTTGCATTTTGAATTTTCAATGTAAATTGCACAAATTTAGTCTTCACTAAAATTGAAATACAACTAGGGGCCGTTAAAAAAATTTAAAAATAATTAAAAATCTCCGAATATACGAACCGAACCGAACCGGACCGAAAAATAAAAATATCAGAACCAAACCAAACCGATATTTGGGTACGGTTCTGGAGATTGAATTTTAGTAATCTCCGAACTTCGATACGGTTCTAGAGATTTGTCAATCTCCGAACCGTACCGACCCATGCTCACCTTATTGCTTAGTTCATCGCATAACATAATTATTTTGCATATTATCAATTATTTTCATTTTGAAAATAACTATTTCCTCATTGTGAAAATAACTAGTTCTTCTATGCTATATACTAGTACTAATACTCATGTACAACATGAGTGTTGAGTTAATGAATATATGTGTAAAATTATTTTATGTCTAATACCAAACCTAACTCCAGAGCAAAAATAACATAAAAACAATATCACGAAGCATAGATTTTTGTCATGTCAGTATTTGAAGTCTGAGAATCTGCCACCTAATCTCAACACGTTGTGAATTAATAGATATGAGGGATTTTGAAAAAAAACAACTATATATTTTGAAAAAAAAAAAAAGAAATCCTCAAAAGCTGGAAGTCTTTTGAATTGAGCCGAAAGGCACTTTTTTTTTATTTCAGACTCCAATTCCCCAACGGCGCGGCCACAATATTCAAACTTTTCCACCCACACAGCCTTTGACCTCATCAAAACGACAACATCAACTGCCATGAATTTGTTCTACTTTTGACTCGGCCAGCAAAATTTTCTAGTCGTTGAGCTCGAAAACGACCTTCTCAGCTCAAACTCAGTTCCCAGATTCGACCTTCAACTCATTTCCAGTCTCAATTTTCAGCTCCATTTTTCTCCTTCCTTACAGCAATGGCAGATGTACTGAGATGCCAAGAAATGCTTGAAATTCCCACCGTCACCGCTAGCCGAGCACAATTTCTTGGAGGGCCAACGGGAAACGGCGCCGTTCCTTGTTCCTTGAAGAGAAAGAGACCCCCCAAGATCGAGATCCCGAATGTCCTACATGATATTTCGCCTGATGTTTTCAAGATGCGCGAAGCCTCCGTGTGCTTTGCCGACAATGGCGTCGGTGTCTTCTCTGTCAAGGGCAAGAAAAAATTTATGGAGGATGCGCACAGGGTTTTCTCGTCTGCAGATGGTGAAAAGGTTAGGGATACAAGACACACTTGTTTGGCTGAATGAATTTCGAGGTTTAAAGTTTCGGAAGATACTACGGTCTCGTTACGGAACCATTCCGTTGAGATTTTCAACCGTTAGATCAACTATCTCAGACGGTTACATGATGATCTAACGGTTACAAAACCCGACGGAATGGTTCTGTAACGGGACCTTAGCATTTTCCTAACATTTCTGTTACTTGTTTGTTGTGTATGCTCTGTCCTCTGTCGGAGTCTCGATCTTGGGATGCTAAGCTGATCCTATTTATACTTGATTTTGTGCTGTCTGTTAAAAAAAAAAAAAATTTTGTTGGAAGGAAAAGTGATTTAAATTGAGAATTTGAAGCCTGGAGTTCGATCTCAGGTTACAAACTTCAAAGAACGAATATATTGAATTGTATTGATTCGAAAATGTAGGTATTTTTCGGGGTATATGATGGGCATGGAGGGAGTAAGGCTGCTGAGTTTGTGACTGAAAATCTGCATTCGAAGATTTTCGAAATGTTGAATCGTTCGTCTGAAAATAAAGGTAGAGAAGAAGCTGTTAAGGAAGGTTATTTGAAAACAGATGAGGAGTTCTTGAAACAGGTAATTGCTGTAATATCAGATTGTGTGTGTGTTTGGGTAATCCTTTTACATTTTGTCAATATCAATTAGAATACTGGGTACCTTTGGTAAGACGAATATTGTACTGTACTTCAATTTCTTCTTGTCCATATATCATTTATAAATCTTGATTTATTGTATCTAATCAGTTGCAGCTACAAGTAAGTTCTCACAGATATGACGGACTTTGAAACTGCAAATGCGGTTTGTGTCAATAATTTAGCTAGGGAAGGTTTTAATCGGCCTTCATATTGCAGTCTGTGTTAATTTGAGAAGTGTGGAGTGTGCAAGCAAGAAAGTTTTATATGATTTCTTGGCCTTTTTGCCGAACCTATTAGTACGTCCGTATATTGAGTATTTGAGTTGTTCAAATTCGTTTACCTCTGATGAAAATTCAAAGTAAAGTTTCTATAATGAGTTTTGTATTGAAGGTAAAGCATGAGAACTTGAAGACGAGGTTATAAAACGACTCTAAAGTTAGCTAATAGTAACAATGAAGCAAAAAAAAAAAAAAAAAAAAAAAAAAAAAAAAAAATTAAATAACTATAACCATAAGTTAGTAAAAAAATTCCACACATGTTCAAGCCAATTCTCTAACATACCAGATAAACTCATTTTTTTTTTTTTTTTTTTTGGTTCTCCCATTTTTGCACGTAATTATTCACGTACAATTAGGAATTCTTTGGCAGGGCTTGGGAAGTGGTGTATGTTGTCTCACAGCTTTGATTGAAGGTGAAGAAATGATTATCTCAAACTTGGGAGATTGCCGAGCAGTTTTATGCAGGGGCGGCATTGCGGAGGCCATCACAACTGATCATAAGCCGGGATTAGAGGATGAGCGAAGCCGAATACAAGAAAAGGTAGTTGGTTACCACGCATGAAGCATTTTATTTTGTTTATTCATTTATTAGATTTTATGTAGGTACGTGAGTTTTTTTTTTCTTGAAAATTAAATCTATATTAATTTCTTGATTCTTAAAAAAAAAAAAAAAATTATCAATAAAGGGTGGGTATGTGGAGTTTCATCGTGGAGCTTGGAGGGTTCATGGTACACTTGCGGTTTCAAGAAGCATTGGTGACTCTCATTTAAAGGATTGGGTAATAGCTGAGCCTGATACAAAGGTTTTACGTTTAACGCCCGACATGGAATACCTCGTGTTAGCCTCTGATGGGCTTTGGGAAGAGGTATGAAACCTTTGATTAAAAAAAAAATGCTAATTTTTAGATTAGCTGATTTCGTCTCCTCTCTGTAATTACAAAAAACCGAATGCCACGTGTGCAAGTAGGATGATGTCGTTAATCTAATTATCACATTTAATAAAACTTCAGGTAAGCAATCAAGAAGCCGTGGAGATAGTTACACGGCTGTGCTCCAAGAAACAAGCCGTCAAATTATCTTCCCCAGTAAAAGAGGTTCGGTCAAGTTTTAGCTCTTTGTCAAATTCACCAAGAACTCTCCTCCTTGCAAAAAATACGACATTCTCCCACATGGCACACAAAGCATGCACTTATCACCAGAAAACAAGCCGAGACGAACGATATTGCGAAAATGCGAGTCCACCATCCAAGTCTCAAAGGATATCGTTGGAAAGACAAAAGAAGATAGATTTGAACAACGAGAATGAGTTCTTGGGTGATATATCGAGTCATGACGGTCTTTTTGGTGCTTGCAAGGAGCTCGTCAACCTTGCTGTAGCTCGAGGTAGTTTAGATGATATTACGGTTATGGTAGTTGATTTAAAGTACCAAATGCAGAAAATAAGGCCCAATAAAGTTGTTAACTCGAGTCATTCTGGAGAGTGGCATAGATTACGTTAGATTGACTGCACGCCCTTCAAAATGCTGCTTGGATTACAAGTTTTTTCATTCGTTGTAGATGATTGTTTTTAATTAACGTTCACTTGGATCTAATTCTGTTCGACAACCAATGTTTTTTGTAAACGAAGGATCGATGCATTATTATTTTATTAACATTCACTTGGATCTAATTCTACGACGACCAACGTGGGATGCCCTTTTTTTTAACGAGGATCGAATATGGAAGTTTTTCTAGAAAGCTTTGGCTGTAGTGTTGTGGTATCATCCCAAGATCATAATCATAATTGAGAAAAACAAGTTTCTGTTACTTACAAAAATAAAAACAAGAGATTTACAAACTCTAAAAAAACTCTCAAACTCTCCACAACTCTACTTGGTTGTGTTTCAACACTCTCAAGGTTGATTGATCACACTCTAGGATGATTTGAATGAATGAACGAGTAACCTATTTATAGATACAAACAAGCACGCCATTGTTGACAAATGGTGTGTGAAAGGAGAAGGTTGGTGGATGACTCACCAAGGATGAATTCTCCACTGGTGTACCATTGAATCTTCTTCATTTGTGTGCTACAACTTGTTGCATGGAACTTTCATGTAGTTCTTGTTTTGGAAACGATAGGCTTCTATTTTAAGAAAACTTTGGCTATAGACTATAGTTCTCATGCAAGAATAAATGAATAATATCTTATATTACTGTGGACTATATAGTTAGGTGAGTATATTGAATTTATACTTAAATTTAATTAAAGTCAATATATATATAATGGTTTGTTAATGTTTTATAATATATGGCCCGACTTGTGATGTTTGACTTGGACCATAAGGTAGGTTGGGATTAAAAGTGTAATCTCCTCTCATAACCAACAGACTCGACTCCCTCTCGAATGGTCACCACCGGGACCAACACCAGAAGACCCACACTCAGTCCTTCCCCCAACACTACTAGCGATCACAACCGAAACAACCGTTGCCCCGCCAACCCAACAACACATGAACTGGGGAAAAACCAGAAGAGCTTCGACCGATGAAGAGGCACATAATTGCATGCGGAGGCAGAGGCTAGATTTTCAGAATGTTTCCTAGGCTAGTTTTTCCTTTTCAATACCCTTTTATATTTACCTTTTTTTTTTTTTTGAAGTTTTATTTTGTACACATGAACATAGATTCCAAATTAACATTTATTTCAATCTAAATGTATTATTATTTTTTAAATTATATTATACCCTTTCAAAGTATCTTTGGTTACAAAAATGAAATGAAGCAGGCTTACGAAAGTTAAATACGACCGCAAAACACAATTTAAGTTGTGAACTGAGATCATCTCCGAACTCGAAACATGGATTCAACCGAAAGATGATGCAACGATCCCATGACAGAGACAAACTATTTCTCATATAATCGATTCGAATTTTACGCTAGCGTAGGAAGTCGGTTTGGCAGGCCATTTTCAAAGGAATTGGAGGGTCCGAATAAGCCCCGCTCACAATCTGATCAAAAACCCATTTATTAGCAGCCTGTGTATAGTGAACACCATCCCAATTAATCACAACCCTTGGATCATCACACGATTTTCCCACCACAATCTCTTTCCCGTTCACTTTGATTTTCCCCCCACAACCAATGTGAATGTTGTAGTTGTACTTTCCTCCATGCCCACAACAAGCTCGCAAAGGGTTCACAAATCCTGCATTCATAACATCAACGAAAAAACACTATCATAACATATCATGTAGGGATCAATCAGTCTTTGTGTATACACACACACACATATATATATATATATATATATATATATATATATATACCGTGCTTTTTGGCTCGACTGATGAGCTCGTACTTGACTGAGTAGACATCCACATAGGTTAAGGCAGCCGAAGGGAGTTCCTTTCTAAGCTGGACAACCGTTTCTTTTAGCCTGAGGTTGAAATATTGAGCAACCTCATTAAATGGGCTCGCGCAGCCAGCCTTATCTACTTGGGCAGCTGTTATCGCAAGCCGGTCCATAATATAAGGCAAGCAGCCAACCGGGCCTGTGTTATGTATCCAGAATGACCTTCCTCCATCATTATATATGTTCTGCATAAAACACAACAACCAAATTTTAGCATATAAAACTTATTTTATTTTTCTTTGACACTCCCCTGACTTCAGCTTCTTTACCTTAATAACGACTTTGAATTGATCCAATACGTCGGGCACGTATCTTCTGACTTGATCGGTCGTCATGTTAAGGAAATATCCCGCGGTCAAATCGTTCTGTCCGATATCAAATGCGTACAATGCGCGCCGAAAATCTTTGTTCTTGGGCAGTAGCCCCTCGTAAACGCCCCCTGAAATGAAAACAGCTATGATTCTAGTTGAATACAATATTGTCCATATATACCAACTAAGTTAAGTGACATAACATCAAATGAGTGTTGTTGACCTTTATCGCGAATGAGCTTGGATCGGTGCCGAAAATCGTTATATTGGTAGTATTGCACGTTCAGTGAAAACGGGCTGAACCCACTCTGATGCAGGGTTGTGTTTTGAGGCCTGATGGTCGATCCAGCCGTTGCGAAGTTCGCCCCGTGAGTAAAGTTGGAGCCCAATGCATCAAGGTAGGCACTTAGATACGGTAGCCCCAAGCTCTCAGCTGAATATCAAAATGATGTATATGATTTAGGTAAAATTGCATTTTTAATCATGTTGGTTTAACGCGATAGCATTTTTAGTCTCAAGATTCTAAACTTTTTACTTAATCCTGTAATTTAGCATTTTACTGCAATTTCAATCATTTGAGGATTGAAATTAAAACAAAATTTAAAATTACAGGACTTAAATTGCTAATAAAAAATTTATCCCAAAAACTTTTTATTAACAATTTAAATTCTATAATTTAGAATTTTGTTGCAATTTTAGTCATCAAATACTGAAACTGTACTGGATTTTTAAATCATAGGACCAACTAACAAAATATTAGATCTTTGGACTAAAAAGGTCACTTGATCAAACACTAAAATGGTAATTTTGCCTAATTTACTGGATAATGCTCTCATACCCACAGTGGACATATGTTAATATGCCCACCGCTTATGTGGCATGTACAGATATTAATATGTTCAAAGAAATACATCACCAATGAGTGCATGCCATATAAGCAGTGGACATACTCTACACTCAATTATTACTAGGACTTGATTTAGAAACCCAAAAAAA